CCCTCGAATGGGCCATTGGAACGGTCCTACGAGACGGTGATACCTTGTTATGCATTTACTGCGTGGACGAGGAGACCGGCATTGGAGGGGTCGACAACTCGGTTCCAGATGATCCGAAGGCTATGAGAGAGCAAGCAGCAGCTATTAACACGGTAGCAAACTCAAGATCTGCTGCGCCTTCCATGTCTGCTGTCCCAGATTTCGTGAGGAATTCTATTCGAGGAGACTCCTCCAAGAACAACACTCCAAACACATCTCCCGCGCCTTCAAGTCGAGGAGAAAGGGGTAGGGCGGAAGAAGAGCGACGCCGAGCAGTCAAGGAGATCACAGACAAGGTGCTCCGTCTTCTGCGAAAGACGACGCTTCAGGTCAGAGTTATCGTGGAAGTATTGCATTGCAAGAACCCAAAGCACTTGATCACAGAGGTCATCGACCATGTTAACCCAACTCTTGTCGTCATAGGAAGTCGTGGCAGGAGTGCACTCAAGGGGTACGTTAAATTCAGCGAAGTTTCAACTATCGGGGCAACGACAGCAGCTAACAAGAGACAGTGTCATTCTGGGATCATTCTCCAACTATCTGGTGACCAAGAGCTCGGTCCCTGTGATGGTGGCACGAAAACGTCTTCGAAAGCAGGGTAAATACAGAGGCGTGAAGCCTGTGAACAATCTCAGCAACCCAGCAGCCCGAAGTTTGGCCAACGCTAAAATTGATTGAGCCTAGAATCACGTCTTGGAGATGTCTGGCTCGTTATAGAGAGGTACATGCATGGGAAATGCTCTACGAAGCTTCACGATTTGTTATGCTCGGTTCAAGCGGCGCACGGATTAGCAGTTTATTCTTAGAAACGGGCTTTGTTAAACATGGTTGGCGCATACCTGGTGATTGAAAGCGGAAGCGGAAGCGGAACCAGGAGCAGAAGTTGAAAGGGTTCAAGATGTTTTGGGTAGAGACCGCTCGTTAGTTTATCAGTAAAATCAATGCAGATTATGAGTTTAAAATCACAATTTGGTCTATATATAAAGTTTCAGCTGTGTGAAGAGTTGCACGGAACCATGAGGTTTCGTTGTGTTAAGTGACATCACGTGTCATCTATGTACGTCTATCTTTATTCCCAGCGCCCAATTACGACTGACTCGACGCATGCAGTTATAGAATTTAAGCTTGCACTCTTTTGAACCAGCGCTGGCGTTCTCTAGTTGACTTGAAATACCTGACCGTTTTTTTGCATCTGCCCAACCTTTCATTAGTTATGCCTCGGATGAATGAACAGAAGCAGAGCAGACCCAACAGCAGCTTACTACATTATCTTATTCATACGAGATTCGCCACAGGGATTCTGACACATTTCATTGGTCTCCCAACCCGCAACCCTAGGGAATTTAAGCCTGTGACTCGCTTGAAATTCGCCTCGTATGGCCCTGAACTGGGCCTAGACTGGGTAGGCCTTCTCTCGCGTCTCGCCTGGACCAACAGCCAACAGAGCCAACAGAGCAGCAGGAGGCTGAACTGAAACGACCCCTAACTACGGACGGACACTGACACAGACTGGAGAGGCAGTAGAGCATGAAAGTGCTCCACCACAATTATCACCTCTTTATGGCTTGATGATCTTGATGTTTGTTTGCCTAACAATCTGACTTGTGTGTCCTATTTTTATTTTCGTGTCTCACTTGTTGATTCGCAAGCAATTATGAGACTTCTCAATACCAAGACCCTACAGCTTGAGAGCTTGGAAGAGGGGTCCGAAAAATACGCCATCCTGTCTCATACGTGGGGTACAGATGAGGTCCTTTTTGGTGACATACAGGATCCCACGCGCATGGAAGAGATTCGCAAGAAGAATGGCGCTGGTTACCGCAAGATAGTGCAGTCCTGCGAAAAGGCTCTCGGCCGCGGGCTCGACTATCTCTGGATCGATACTTGCTGCATCGACAAGTCCAGTAGCGCTGAGCTCTCGGAAGCCATCAATTCTATGTTTCGCTGGTACAACAAGGCGGATATATGCTACGTCTACCTCACAGATGTCTTTTTACACGCCGTGGGCATCGGATTGACGTCTGGTCTGAAGCAGAGTCGTTGGTTCACGCGTGGATGGACACTACAGGAGCTGCTTGCACCCGATGAGGTGGAATTCTTCGATCACAATTGGACGTCCGTCGGCGACAGACATACTTTGGCTTCAACAATCAAGGAGATCACAGACATTGATGAATCGTTTTTGGTCAGGCCCGAAGGGAAAAAGGATCGCAAGATATCGGTCAAGCTCCAGCGTGAAAACGTGGCCACAAGGATGAGTTGGATGGCCCACAGGGAAACGACGCGAGTTGAAGATATAGCATACTCTTTGCTTGGAATTTTTGGAATCAACATGCCCATATTATATGGCGAGGGCTCCAGAGCCTTTCTGAGGTTGCAGGAAGAAGTTCTCAAAAGGTCGCAGGATCAGTCCATCCTTGTCTGGAGATGGCCCTTGTCTCGAAAGCCTGAGGAGAATACCCACCGAATGCACTTCCTCGCTGACAACCCGGCCAACTTTAACCTCCGCACATATGCAGGACAAGAAGACTCGGGCTTGTTTGGTGTCAGGTTGACAGATCAAGGGCTGGTCCTTCGCGTATGGAAGTGTCCGTGCAAACTGACACGTTGGAACCATGACAAGACGGAGCTCAAGGAAGCCAATGATCGATGGTTAGCCGTCCTCGACTGCAGTCTGTCTCCAGATACTCTTTCCAGACCAGCTATAATTCTCAGTGAGAGTCCTTATGCCGAAGGTGCTTTTCGACGAGACCCTACGAGCGTGATCATGGTGATAGAACATGATCAGAATAAGTCCGGGTATTTGGACACCGGTGGTGGTAGAAACGGTGAGTAATGGCCCGACAATAGTGTTTCCGTATAGATATTGAACTGACCACCTCAGCAATATATTCCATTGAATACAAACCTGAATTCAAGACGGAGACAATTCTGCTGGAGTCGGATTCTATCGAGCCAGATGCCCGCCTGCGAGGAAGCTTTCCTTTCAAGGTCAACATGACTCTCAAAGACCGGGAGCTTAAGCAGCGTGCGGCTTATACCGGATCTCAGCGATACATCGTGGCGGGCAAGCTCGCCCACAAACCAACGCAAAACCCCATATATGGAGTGCTATTCCTTGGAGCTGATGATGCAGACACTGAGCTCGTCGTATGGTGGGGTCTAATAGAGGAGGGCACAGCCATGTACGACGTACACAATCGCCACAATGGCCCTCGAGTCTGGAGTAACAGTGTTCCAGTGTGCTTTGCCCAGTCGTGGAAAAACCTCACGGGTTCAGAGACCTGGGATGCCAAGCTCGCGGAGTCGTTGGCTGTGGATATGCTCTGTGAGGAATTTCCCCTTCCGTGGAAGGGAACAGAGAGACCTTCGGTGGTAGAGGTGGAAGACGGCTTGAATCTGCAGAACGCCCTCAACGAACAGAAGCCAATGGCGACAGAAACAGTGATTGAGCTATTCACTCAGTGTGCCCAGCCAGTAATTGAGTGCATCGGCTGGGGCATGAGGCTCAAGGCGTCAATGAGAAAGATGGAGTTTCTGGGACGGCTGTGCTGTGAGTTGGCTATCGAAGAGAAGAACCCCAATGTCGAGAACGATGCTGGAAACTATGCATAGACATAGGAGCTGGGGTAACTGCTGGATCGCATGGTGGCTGTATCTATAGGCTGACATGGCTTTGTATGAGCATGAGTTTATTGTATATCAGAAGAAAAGGACGGTGGTAGTTATTAGTGAAGATAGACTACAGTTCATATGCATGATGGTTATATAAGCTACAGAAACCGCTGTAGCCTAAACTTTGAGGAGAATGACACATTATGAGCTGAGCATCAGGCATCTTTGCAGTGATCCTGGGCCTTCCATCACTGTAGATACCATGGCCTCATCTCTCCCGCTTCATCCGCCATCACATCTTGGCCTACATCAAGGCCAAAGACACAGACCAGGTCCACTTTTATAACAAATGGCCCACAGTCAACAACAAAGCGTTGCCAACGTATCAGAGCGTGAGCGTCGAGTCATAATTGCGGTGTTATTGGTCCTTGTGCCCAAAAACAACACGGTCGCGAGCTCTAAGAATGATGACGGAATTTGCCTCCACAACAGACACGCTATAGAGTCCTGAATACGTCTCAGTTTCGTGTAGCGGATCACCTTATAAAGGGAATAAATAGTCTTATCTCTCAGGGTCAATAAACAAAAAGCACCATGTGACCGTCGCGTGTTAAGCTTGAGGCGCGTTAAGTGCTTCCGAAACAAGACTAGTGCGGGGGGCTGGAGAAACGGTCTTGTTCTGCACGGTTGGCGGGGCTTGATTGGATGTTATGCGTTGTCTAGGGGGAGGGAAGGAGGGCCCAGCCTCGTTGATTCTGGGTCTTGGAGGGGAAGTTGCGGATGAATGTGTGAGTAAAAGGAAAGAGTGAGTGAGTGAGTGAGTGAGTGAATGAGTGGTGGGCTGAGGCAAGGGTGGCTATCTGGAGGAGGTTGTTAGTGATGTGCATCAATTATTGTCTTAGTAAATGTCAGGTAGTAATTGAATAACCACTTGTGTTTCATGTCTAACATCCTTCCTTCCTGTTCTTGAACTTTCATCCTTCCTTTCCCCTTCTCATCCACCTTCCCAGGCTGCTCAGTCGGTCAAGGCACCTGCGGCCCCATCCTTCTTTCCTTCTTTCTTCCATATACTCAAATATTAGGTACCTTACCCTTGCACAAGGAAGTTTGGAATATCGTTCCTGAGCTTCTATTTACCCCTTCTATCTCCTCTCTACAGTAACTATCCATCCAATCATCATCATATACCAAACAATACTCAATACTCATCATCATCATCATCAACCTTGAGCTTCACAGCCGTTTTTGTTATAACCCACCTACCATTACTTTATTCAAAGACAAGCAAAGACAAGACAAGCAATTCAGTGGCAGAGCAAGCCGTATATCACTCAGCTATCGTCTCTATGACTTCCCTCTTCACAGTCAACAACAACGTCTCGCTCGTCAGCATCACTATTGCTCCAAGCACGTATCTTATCACTGTTGCTCTGCTTCTTCTCTTTGCCATTATTTACGTCCCCCGTCTTTTGGCTTGCCGATTTCCTAATCTGGGCATACCCTTGCCATCGCTGGCTTCAATACTAAGGCCAATACTTGGAGACCCAACAGACAGTCAAAGACAGCCAACCAAACCTGAAAAGGCTCTACCGGAGCCGCCATATGCCGCCACCGGACTTGTATTCGAGGATCAGCAGCAGCTTGTCATCTCTGGGCAGGATATCGTCCTTGCGCAGCGCCGCCATTACCTCCAACAACAACAATTAGCTCAACAACAACGTCTTCTCCTCGAGAAGCAAAAACAACTTGAGTTTCAGGAAGTAGAATATCGTCGTCGTCGGGAGTCGCACCAGGACTCATCACCATCAAAAAGATCTACCGATAATGGATCCCCTCGAAGGTCTAGACGCCAGCTTACAGGACTTCGATCTCCCACCAAGTCCATCAATGCCCCATCACTCAGCTCACCGCAGCGAAGCAGCAATGACAGAAGGGGATCTCGAGGAGTCGGAGACCGCTTCCGCGAGTGGGTACTCACCGCCGGCGTGGCGAAGGCTGGGAAACGGAGACCGGAGTAGTGGCTTCTGGAGAGCTCCTCAGGACTTTATGCACCGAGGGATGAGCACTCTCAGAGAGAGCTCCCCTGAACTGGATGATAGTGAGGACGATGGCGTCCTAGAGAGAGCCATTCGGACTAGGCTGCCCAGAGGGAGCCAGAGTCCAGGTAAAGGCAGGAGTATGAGCCCTGAGAAAGCGGATGATCCCACAATTCAGTTTCAGCTCCACGAGAAGACAAGTCCTTCAAGAGAGCTGAGCTTACACGAAGTGACGCCAGATAACTGTAGGTGAAGTTGTGGCCAGATCCCAGATACATATCTAATACATGCCAGACATCCGCTTTGCAGTCCGCGCCGAAGTTCAGCATCGCACTGAACCTATTGAGACAGCCATCAACTTCATTCGTGATCACTACAAAGCTCTTACTAGGACATGGTCAACCACTTTCACCACTATCATCATTGCCTTCTTCTCTGTCTCTATCTTCAAGTCTCTCTTACAGCCCGCTGCCCCACGTCCAGTCGGCGATCTTGTGAAAGTTGCAGGATTAGCTCGCTCCTTCGAACCCCTCATCTATTACTCTGAGCATGCTGTCTCTCAAGTACATGATCTACAGGCGACCAGTGTTGCTGTCTGGGATCTTGGCGAGAGTGTGCGTACAAGCGATATGCGCGATGCTCCTAGAATCGTGGCAGACTTAGATGCTCTCAGCGAGACCATGAAGACGTTGGCCATAGAAATGACCAAATTCTTTGCTAGAGTCGATGGTGATATTGATGGGTAAGTCCTTGGTTGGAAACGATCTTGACCATTCTAACATCTCGCAGCATCCTCAACGTCATGGATTGGGCCAAAATGCACCTCAACCGCCTCAAATCATCCCCTTCCCCTTCAACTATCTCCTCAGCCTACGACAACATTCACAATCTTCTCTCTGAAGCACATGTCCTTGAGGATGCCTCCGGCTCTCCTACCGCCCTTGGTCGCTTGACCAGCCACATATTTGGCCTCTCAAATCCTCAAAGGGAGCAACGCATGGTGCAGCTCCTCTTCACCGAATTTCTTTCTGTCCTTGAAGACTCCATCCAAGCTGAGCTGCAACATAGCGTCACCCTATTCGCCCTTTTCGAAGCTGTGGATCATCACTTCCTAAATCTTGCCCGCACTGTTGTTCGCGAATCGTCTGCCCAGGAAGAACTTCATGCCGATATGCTTTCGAGCCTCTGGACGCGGCTTCTTGGTACAAGAGCGGCTGAATTACGTAAATTTGAACAGAATCGTCTGCTATTACGTGACGTCCGGGAAAAGACAGTGCGCAATAAAGGCATTCTTGTCGAACACAACGGCAAACTTTTGACTTTGAAAGCGTCCCTAGAAACTCTCCGCAGCAAACTCGTCTCGCCTCTTGTTCGCGGCGTCAACTCTACAACACTCACATTGGAGGATCAAATTCGTGGTCTCAGCGATGTGAGCGATTACCTCGGTGATGTCAGGAAACAGCAAAAGGGCAAAGTCATGGAGACTCTGTTTGGTAGCGTACCCAGCAAAAAGTATGCAATCGAAGACAGGCCTGGCACTGTTGTCGTGAATCCCCTTTAAGGATGCACGAATTCTTTGAGACCCCAAACTGCATGTTGGATTTCTCTAATACTAGTTTTCCCTTTCGACTTAGGAATGCAGTCACTTATCAAGCGTGTCTTGTATACCATTGGGTTTGAAGGATCTAGACCCTTGCCTTGGCAGGATGATACTGCTGGAATATGATTATCCAACAAACTCTTGGATTTCACTGCTCTGTGGGTACAGAACAGGAATTTTGTTTGGGCGTTGGGTAAATCTACACTGACATGGTTCATTGCATATAACGGATAGCCTCTATTTTATACCTCTTGGTTTCAATTTACAAATTAGCATTTTTACGATATTTACATCTACGAGACATCACATTAAATGGATGTTACTGTCTCACGATGGCGGGACACACACATGATGGTAACTTAAACATGTCTCTTTCATTAGAAACCCTAACCGCATAAAACCTCTGCGTTGATCATGCCTGCAAACGAGGACCATTGGTAGGGGGTATAGGCCAACAGCCAGAGTGTCAGAAAACCGTCAACGCCGTCCTGATGGGTTCTCCCGAAAGCGCCGGCGCCGTTGCTGTGAGCAAGCGACGGTTCGCGACGAGAGCCAGCCACCGTTATATCCCCAAACTTTTGAAATCTCCCTTCCTGAGAAGAAATAGCAACCAAGTCTATCTGTACATAATGCGCCCCCTCGGGTTGGGTAACACAAGGTCGTAAAGCATGTTTCGTTGCTGGTTGTTCCATAAATTGCCTCGTAAAGGCTTTCGTCGTTCCATTTGAGGGGGTTGCCCAGTCAGATAACCATGAAAAAAAAGAAAATGATAGAATTTTGATGAAAGTGGAAAATGGCTTAAGCCTTGGTCTCTTCCTCCTTCTTGGGCTCACCGCCCTCGCTGCCCTGAGCCTTGACGTACTCGTCATAAACAGCCAGGGCCTCGTCGACCTTGGCCTTGAGAGCGGCATCGTCCTCGATACTGTGATGACTGTTAGAGCCTGATCATGGTTTGTGGAAAAGTAGTTAAAACTTACAGGTTGACAAGTTCGGCATTGTCCATCTCCAGAAGCATACCGGTGATCTTGCCAGCAAGCTCACCATTAATGGCTTGGATCTTGGGGAAGATCAGCTCACCGAGGATCTGCTTCTGCTGAGCGGGAGGAGCGGCAGCAAGCTGCTGCTGGAGCACATTAGGGCCGGCACCCTCGGCACCACGACCACCTTGAGGTGCGTTGCCGTTACGTCCAGGTCCACCTCGGCCACCCTGCTGGCGGTTGTTAGGAGGGAAACCAGCCATACCGCCAGCCATGGGAGGGCCACCGGGCATGTTCTGAGGACCACCACGACCACCCTGAGGAGCGCCACGGCCACCAAGAGCGGCTTGCTGGGCCTGCATAGCAGCCATGAACTGGGGAGTACCAGGCTGGCCGAACTGGGGAGGGAACTGGCCAGGCATGCCGTACATGTTGGGAGGCATCTGCTGAGGAACACCACCACGGCCACCCTGCTGAGGGTAGCCAGGGAACTGACCGGGACGGCCACCCTGAACACCGGGCATTCCCATGCCAGGCTGAGGGAAAGGAACACCACGACCAGCCTGAGGCATGAAGCCGGGCTGCTGGCCAGGAGCAAAGTAGACAGGGGGTTGCATGTACTGCTGGGGCATACCGGCGGCGGCGGCGGCCTGCTGCATACGGAGTTGGTTGCGAGCTTGGATGCTAGCCTCAAGCTGACTCTTTCGAACATCCTTGCGCTGGGCCAGAGCGACGTACAGAGGCTTGTTGTTAATCATACGCTGGTTCATCTCAGCGACAGCCTTGGTAGCATCGTCGGGGTTGCTGAAACAGACGAATCCGAAGCCCTTGCTCTTACCGAGCTTCTTGTCCGACTTCTTCTCAGTCTTCTTGTCATCTGTAGCCTCCTCGTCCTCCTTGGGTTCGTCCTTAGCCTCCTCCTTGGCCTCCTCCTTGTTCTCCTTGTCCTTGTCATCCTGAGTCTCCTCCTTCTTGTCCTCATCACCCTCCGTGGGGGTCTCACGCATCACCTTGGCGGAGGTAATAGGACCGAACTCGGAGAACATCTGGCGGAGCTTATCATCGTCAACATCGTCATCGAGGTTCTTGATGTAGAGGTTAACGCCCTGGTACTTGTTGGCCTTCTCCAGGCGAGCAGCCTCATAAGACTTGCGGAGCTCCTCCTCGCGCTCGTGCTTCTTCTGGGCGCGGCCAACGTATAGATCCTGGCCATGGAAATCCTTGCCGTTGAGGTCGTCAACAGCCTTGGAGGCAGCCTCGTGAGTGGTGAAGTTGACAAAACCGAAACCTCGGCTCTTGCCCTCCTGATCACGGGCGAGGGAGGAAGAGGTGACGTCACCAAACTTCTCAAAGAGTTCACGGAAATCATCCTCAGTAACGTCAGGCGCAATGTTCTTGACGTAGACGTTAGTGAAGTTGGCCTTCATCTCCTCGAACTTGCTCTGGCGGTCCTTCTTGGGGATGTGGTGGCCGACGTAAACCTTCTTCTCGTTGAGAAGCATGCCGTTGACGTGCTTGATGGCCTGGGAGGCAGCCTCATCAGTCTCGTAGTGAACGAAACCATAGCCCTTGGAGTTACCATTCTCGTCCTGGGCGACCTTGCAGCTCAGAATGTTACCAAAAGCAGCGAAGGTGTCGTGAAGGGCCTTGTTGTCAATAGCGACATCAAGGTTCTTGATGAAAACATTGCCCTGGCCGTTCTTGCGAAGAGCAGGGTCACGCTGAGACCACATGATGCGGCAGGGGCGACCCTTGATCAGGGTGTAGTTTAGCTCCTCAAGAGCCTTCTCGCCATCAGCAGTAGCATTGTAGTTGACATAGGCATAACCAAGGGAGCGGCGGGTGACGGCGTCACGGCAGACACGGATAGAGGCAACGGCACCAATCTGGGAGAAGAGCTCGAAAAGCATAGCCTCAGTGACGGAGGGGTCAAGCTCGCCGACGTAGAGAGAAGCAGAGTTCTGGGGGTGAGGAGCAGCGGAAGTGGGGGTGGGAGCAGCAGCATCGTCAGCGGCGGCAGCGACACCGGTGTCGACAGCAGGAGCCTTGGCATCACCGCCGTTGAGAGAGGTGTTGTTGAGGTCGTTGGCGAGCTGGTCAACAGCGCCGGGAGCAGCGTTGGCGGCCATTGTGAATATCGGTTTTCTAGGGTTGAGTATACCTGCAATGAGCAGTAGGGTTAGCAAATAATCAAGCAAGCGCTTCGAAAATTATAGTGAGTTTGAATATTGAGCATAAAAAGAGAGAGAGAAGATCGATTCGTAGATTGAGGGTGAATAATGGCAGGGCTAGGCATACCTGTTTAAGAAGCCGACGGTGGAGAAAGTTCGCGTGGTACTCGACCTTGAGCGAACAAAGAAGACGGAGCAACGAACAAAGCGATGCAGCGCGACGATTTAAAAGAGTCTTTGATTACGAGAGAATCAAAGCCAGGGTTGAAAGAAGTCGTCGAAGGAGGAAAAGTCACTCGGGCGGTGGGTGTCGCGAGAGAGACAAAGAGAGAAGAGAGGTCGTGAGATGAGGTGAGGGGGTAGTAGTGGTGTTGGTGGGTTGTGTTTTTTGGGGGTTTTTTCAAGTTTTTTTTTGTGTTTTTGTTCCGAGTGGAAATGAAGTGAGCAGAAACAGAGAACTAGTACGAAGACCGTACCTCTGGACTAACTCGACTTTTATGGGTTTTGGGGTTGAGTAATAAGGTTGGTTTCGTGGTTGAAGAAGGAAGAAAGAGAAATTTCGGTCGTGATAGAATATTTTTTGCTTAGCCTTGGCTGCACTGTAGACCTAAGGCCAAGGTACGTACCTAGGTTGCCGTAGGTTCTGATTTGGTCATGGTAGAGGGGGAGGGATTGGTGGAGTGAACCTGCCAGAATTAATAGACACCTTGAGGAAGTGGGGTACATGCCGACTGCTAGTGATAGGCTGCTGGGTATCGTACAGGTCTTTCGCTAACAAACGGCCTAGGCCAGTTCACTGTACAGTGATAAGGAGCGGGCGTCACGTGCCCTACTCACCCATCTCGGCAGTGGCCAAGATACAAGCGGCGCCCCCGGACCTGGAAATGGCAAACCATTCAAATTTTTGTCACTTATTGGAGATGGTAGCCACACTACCACACTATGCCACGCTGTTGGAAGCTAGTAAACGGCCCTGGCTGTCACTGGCCTGGGCTGAATTGGCCTGGGCTACGATGTAACAGAGAAAACTGTGTGAGGAGCAATTTTTGCTTTTGCTGTGTGTGTTTGCTAATTTTGACGATGACGACTTATCTTCAGTGTCTCACTGTTCAAAGTGATCCACTTGCTGTTAAAATGACATTTTTCTTGTCGCTTCGGCCGGGGTATCACTGTAAAAGCAACGTACGTGCATATGAACCTATTGCTAGGCGCTTCATTAGATCCAGCATGCCATGATGCTTGGTTTCTTCACCGCCAAAGATAGGCATACAATATTATTGCGGCGCATAAACTCAACAAGTGGACTTTCTTTCGGGTCAAGGTTCCTTTGACAGTGCAATTTCCGGGCGTCACATGAGAGGTATAAGAACATGAAGGTGCAAGTAGGTATTTGGGACTGAGACAAAAATAAGCGAAAATTCCTGTCATTGATAAGACGTTCTACTTTATATGTCCTAGTTAGTTGCATGAGACTTATGTCGTCTCAAACTCGAAGCCGCCACAACAAGCCTCGAGGCCTAGGAAGATTATTATCACGCAATGTTTATGATGATTGAAAATTTCACGTCATGAGACGGAAATAAGTCTGCTTGTAACTACCTGAGTAGTTTACTTCCATTATATGGCTACTCAATACCTACCGTAGAATTACACAAACCCTCACGGTGGAGGTTTTTTGTTCACCCAGTTAGTATTTGTCTAATTAAACGTAATCATAGTTTATCAAAACTCATCAACAAAAATAAATAAAAAATAGTCCTCAGACTCTAGGATTCCTCACAATGACCAAGTCCCGAAGGTATGCCTGGCCGGGTCTTATCACAGAACTGAATGAATCTAGAAGTTACCAAGGTTTGCATATCAGCATTTATAATCAGGTATCACACCGAGGTTCAGAAGAGCTTAAGGTAAAACACTCTTCGCAGGAAGAAACGAGAGTAACTTCGCATAAACTCTCCATAATTGGCGCATAATCGTGTTCAAGCTGTGGTCATGGCAATTCGCATTTGCGTATTCCGCAGTGTAGTGGGTCTTATCTTATCGCAATCCCGGCTCAGCAAAGGTGAGGTCACCTCAAAGCCCATCCCCACCAAAGCATCTCCAAACTCCGAACGCGGCATTGGGCAAATAGCATCTAAAATAGACCAGGCCGCCGCTCGTCGCTGACTGAGCTTCTAAGCTGAATCTTCTAGAAGCAGGCTCGACACATATTCACGACAGTTTCGACGGCTGGGCCATTCAACCATGATATCGTTGCCTACCTACCTAAATATACTCCCGACTTACTGAACCTCGCGCTATCCTCCGAGCGTCCCCCATCCCGCTTCATAACCATGTTCTCGACATTCACGGGCAACTCGAGACGCCCTCGAAACGTCAACCTTAGCGGTACCACCGGGAATCCCTTCACCAATACTTCGTGGTCACCATCTGCTGTCTCGAACACAACAAAGACCGTTTCAAATGCACAGGCCGAGCGTGAGAAACGACAAGCTGATCGGGAAAAGCTAAAGGCGGCCAGCAAGATACAGAGAATATGGAGAGGTTACAAAACAAGAGCTGAGCTGAAGGAGTCTCAGAGGAACACCTTTGATGCTCTGTACAAATCAGAGCGTCGTCAGAATCCTTCTGAGAGGCTTCCTAAAGCATTCGGGCTGCTTCTGTCTTTCTTCAGCCTGCGACGAGATGACGACATACAGCGAGCTATTTGTTATGCACATGATACCGAGTCTGTGGACCTCGAAGCAATTGCTCCCTCGAATACTTCTCTGTCACGAGTGGGATGCCTTATTCAACTGCTTTTACAGGCCTTGGACAGGGCTATATCAATAGGGTACGTGACTACGTTTATCACTGGTTCCATATGGCGATTGTCTAACTAGTAAACTGTACAGAGATCTTTCTGGAGATACCCATATTCTTTTTAAGCTCGTTCTTCGCATCATTACGAAGTACCCCGAGTTTCTCATTCCCATGATCGACAGTTACTATACAGTAGTCGCCAAGCTATGTCAATTTCAGAAGCTCAGTGAGCAGTGGCAGGATATTATGCTTCAAGCTATTTCTAGGCCACTTGAGGCAGCATCTCATCAAGGTAAGTCTCCCAATCAGATTCCTGGTATTCCACTAACACTTTCCAGGGACATCACAAGTTTATCGTGCATACGCCTTCTCTTTCTTGACCAAGAATAATTTGTACTTCTTTGAAGAGAATATCTCCACGCTATCCAGCACAGTCAGACTTTCTGATCTTTCAAAGGCGATAGCCACAGGGCTGTCCTCTCGATCGAGCGAGAAACAGTCTGAGGATGCTCAACTCTGGCTGCTCGCCCACTTCATCGATTTGAGTCGCTTTAACACCAACAATAGCAGCGGCTCGGGTGTTTTGGAAGCGCTTTACGCTCAATTATCGGGCCTGTCTTCTACCATCAGTGTCCGATTGTCAGCAAAGTCGACAGACAGCGACGAGAATATCTCTGAAGAACCTCTGGTGCCATCACTAGATCCTTATGTTACTGCTAGACTCATGTCTCTAGTGGACAGCAATGGCATTTTGCAAACGTTACACGAATTCTCAACCAACCTGGCAGGATCCTCTTCGCAAGAGTATCAGAGCACGAGCCTTTTGGCTGGGTATATCTTGACCCTACTCCGATGCTTCCCTGCAAATAGCGACGACATACGCATGCGCCTCTTCCTTGAGGAAATTCCTACGACCTCGGGTGATGTACCAACGGTAAAGTTTCTCTGGCACATTATGAGCGAAACGGCGGTCTTCGAGAAGTTGAGGACGGAGTCAGAGGCCCCGCTCAACGTCCTCCGCAGGTATTTAGGTGTTACATCAGAGACTTCGAACTCCCTAGAAGAGGAACAGGATTGGCGGATCGCCCTCTTGTTCCTCGAGCTGTACATATTCATTCTGCGTTTGAGCGATGACGAGGATTTTTTCAGTGGTATTGACCCACGGATCATGGAGCAAAACCAGTCAATATCCCGCATTCGATCCTGCAGCCTGTCTTTAAAGGACGTCAAAATGCTGACGAGCTTTCTGAAGAATACTGCATTTACTCTTCACTACAGAGCCCAAGACCTCTCCAAATCTGCTGAGAGTCTCGAGGCAGCCTCCAGACATCGTTTTGACACCTATTTTGGTTCTGGACAATCTACAGCAATGATACCGGAGGAACCTTCATCCCTCACAAAGAGCCCGACGAGGCTTGACATCGACAGCCTACGAAACATTGTTACAACAGCTATGAAAATGCTGTATGAAAGAGATTCGAGGAAGCAATTCTTACCCACAGACCATTGGCTTATGACCTCAAAACTCGACCAGTCAGACTTCATCAGTGCCGTTATTGCAGAGGAAAAGCGCCAGATCGATGAAGACTCTGATGCCAGCGACGAGGGCAGTGAGCATGGGGATGGTCCAGGTCTTTACTCAACTATTGTTGGCCAGCGACTGTCACGACACGCGAGGCTCGAGAAACTCAAGGCTCAGCAGATTCGAAGTCAAAGAGAGCGCAAATTAGCAGAGATGAAGCCCAAGCTGGAGATCCTCAAACACATGCCGTTTGCAGTCCCTTTCGAAACTCGCGTTCAAATCTTTCGCCACTTTATCCAATTAGATCGACTGCAACGAGGGGAAGGCAGCCAGCCATTTTTCACCGGTCCGTTTGCGAAGCATCATGCCCAGATTTCACGTAAGAGTCTCTTTGACGATGCATATAAGCAATTCTACGAGATAGGGGACGATCTCAAGGGGCCTATCCAGATCACATTTGTTGATCAGTTCGGCGCCGCCGAGGCCGGCATTGATGGAGGAGGTGTTACCAAAGAGTTCCTTATCAGCGTAGCGACAGAAGCGTTCAGTGCTGAAGGTGGTAGAGGCATGTTCACTTCGAACGAAAAGGGACTTCTGTACCCTGATCCCACAGCTCTCGACGTTATTCGGGAGG